CTAATAAAGACATCTAAATCACTTGAGAGTTAGCTTTGTTTGCAGCTTTGAAACCAAGAAATTAGAATTATTTCTTTCTTACCAAACCAAACATTATCTATTGTCAAGTACAATGGTGGTAGCCCAAAAGGTATTCTGAGGACAATAGACTAAATACTTCTGCAGGACCACGAACACTCAGTTAATGTTCCCATAGCTCTGACATGCTTTTTCTTTTAATACAAAATATTATTTGTAATTAAAAGTGGAATTTGCTAATAAACATGGTTGATAATGAAATACAACTATGGGCAAAATTAGCTTGTTCACAAAATTTTTTAAAACAGTTTTCCTAGTACACTGTATTTTAGAAACACTTGTAAATACCATCAGTATATTTTGACAACTACTTTCTGGAAACAAAGATATCAGGTGCCCTTAAAGAAATGTTCTGAATGCTTTAAAACATCCCAAGGTTTAAGATAATTTGTTTAACTTTTAGGGGGTATCAAGCATGAAGCTGAAGGGGGGATTATGCACAAGGAACAAGGAGGAGATGTGGCCAGACCTGTGGTGGGACACAGGCAGGGCAGAGGTGGGCTGGGTGGCTGATGGGGGCTACGACCACCTACCCCCCAGAGGGACTGACTCAGGCATAACGACAGCAGAGTAAGGATTTTGTTGTAGTCACACTGAGAAATTTCTGTGTTGATAAAACCCTCAACTCCAGTCTTTGCAGAGAGGAAATCATCTTTTTGCTCCAAGATACGACAGCGCCTAGCAAATACATGATGATGTTGAAAACACTCAACCCCAACACAGGCCCAGACAATTTCAAACCAGAAGTTTTCTCCTTTGTTCTGCTGTGGCTATAAACTACATTTTTTTTTTTCTCCCCTCTCAACATTTTTAAACATAACAAAGAAAAACAACTGTTTCAAAATTTTTCACATGCAGGGGAACATTATTATGTGACATTCTTTCCTAGAAATCTGTCTTATTTATTAACAGAATTAATCTGATCATAAGCTGGCTGACACACAAAGTGTTGAAATATGTCATCTTCAAACCATGTTTTGCTAATGAAATTTTGGTGTTAATTCAGGGAATATAACAGAATCCCAGAATCTGTAGTACGAGCCAAACAACAAATGTGGTTCTTCTGGCAAAAAAGCATCATTTTCTCCCTTTTCTGTTGTGGGTTTGTCACTGCGTGCTCTCCATCATCCATTTCTTTCCAGAATCTACTTTTTGATGTGGAGTCCCCACTTGGCCATCATCTTCTACATTAAAATGCTCTGAACGTGTTTTGCAGTTCCAATCCCAGGAACTACTTGGCACTTTCAATCACAGAATCCAAAAGGATTTAATAAAAAAAAAACCAAAAAACACTAAGGCAGAGATTTCATAAATAACCTCAAGGTATCTCTACAATGCAATTAACTTTATGCTAGTGCCAAGTCCAGCCAGAAACCACTGCCAGAAGCAGTGGAAGAGTTAGGTAAATGCTCTGACCATTTGACTGTACTGAGCTCCGGGGTGTTGTGGCTAGATTGCTATCAGGATGCAAGAAAGCCAGTTGAAATTTACCCTTAATAAGTTTACACTACAGTTCAGTGACCAACGCAGCTCCTGCATAGACATTCTCAGTAGCTCAGCACCCAAACCCTTACTGGAGGGTGCCTTCTGAAATCCCAGTCTAAAGCATCACAAATGGGTTAACAGACAGGGCAACTTAAGCAGCTTTTCCAAGCATCTGCAGGGCATTAATATAATTGTACTCTGAACTAATCCTGCGGTCTAAACCAGTGGTTCCTGATCTTTGAAGTGTAAGCACATCACAGGAGAGGCATGGCACAGAGACCAGGTGAGCTTGGCTGGATTTGCCCCATGCCAGGCCAGCTGCAGTGTCCTTGTACTCTACTCCAAAGAATGCAAATCCTGGTAAGTTCAAAGCAAAGATATCTGAGAGGCACTGAAGGCTGAGCTGTGCTTTGGGGATCACCCTCTGTGCCAACACTGTCATAATCCCAACCAACCCAAACTCAAGAGCAGTGAAAAGGCAGTGACAGGAGTCACCAAGTTGTTCAACACCTCCTCAGACCATTGCTGCTTAGGTCTTTGCCATCAGACACTGCAATGTGATGGCATCCAAACTGGTTACCTTATAAGCCACAGGAAGAGATGTGATGAGCCAAAATTTTATCCTGATTTTATGACTCTGACGACACAGTTTGACTTGCCCTTAGGCCAGAAAACTCACAGTATAACACAAAATGCCAATTACTTCAAGTATTTGTCTCCAACTGACCCAAACTGAGGCCATCTGAGGCCAAGAAGGGCTGCTTAGATTGGGTTTTATGTCGTCAAAAGAATCAAAACATTCTTAAAAGTTTCATTTATTCCTTTCACTAATGTTTAAGGTACTATTTGAAAAAATAATCAATACAGTTGTGAAATAATAACCACCTAGAAAGCTTTAACTAGCAAAGAGAGACAGGAATTTGATTTAACATCAAAATCATGTATTAGGGCATCCACATCTGGATATCACTTTACCATCTCAATCCAAAAACTTTTCTGAGAGCCAGTTGGTTTCTGTAAAAATGTATTTCTCCCTTTGAAAGGAAATAATAATTGGAAGGTCTTAAAGGAAGTCACCCAATACCATATAAAGGAAATTGCAATCTGTTCCTCAAGGTTAGTTTAAATCAAAGTTATATTTAGCAAATGCCCGTTTTTTTAATGATAGTTTTTTAATAGCTTATACTATATTAAGTCTTCTCAAAAGCTCGTACTATATTAAGAACTGCTTTGTTTTTAGAGTGTTTCTTTAATCATCCCTCAAGGTCTTCAGCTTGCCCTAGGTCAGATGATGTTCCCCAACTTCCGGACATTTAGGAATCCATTTCCACCAAAACACTTTTTATTTTCTTCACCAGGCTAATAAAAAGCAAAGTATTTCTGCATATGGTTGTCTAGAAGTATGTGTGGTTCTTAAAAATACTGTGATCAAATATTAAAACCACCTCTTTCTCTTTCCAGAAGTATACACAGCAGTTTGGCTTCCTAAGAATTTTCTGTCTGGGTATCTGGCTTCCAGTTAATTTCCATTAAATCACTGGTTTCAAAGGAAGATTGTTTTAAAAGTACAGTATTAATGATGCCACACCAAGTTCAAGAACTCCAGACATAACAGCTCCTGCAATTTCTTCTCCAAGCTGACAAAATCTTACAAAACATATTTGCAGCACTAATGCTAAAAACCCTCCAGGACACTGCTCAGAAACCCTGGGCAGAATTCCCCTGTGGTTTTATGTATTTTATTGTATCATGAGTTAATATGATCAAAACTAAGTTTATAATAGCTGAACACAGATTTATGTGGAGAAGGATTTCATACAACCTATAATTATTAGTGTTCAAAACCTGTTGTTACCAACAGCTGAATTGTTTCCACTGAATCTACCTTAGTTTAAGTGAATCCATAAATTCAACAGTAGCATTTGCACCAATGCTAAGAAAAAGGCTGGTAAACAGTCTCAACCCTGCCTTTCTAATACAGAACTCAGGAAGGTATCATGCATCATAACTTGAATTATAGCATATTTCTGACTATATAGAAGACTATTCCATTGCCACAGGGTTTCTGTTTATCTAGATGGCTGCTGGAAAAGTGGAGAAGTACAATTAGTACATTTTCCTCAGTGGCAAAAATCCACCTGTATCCCAAAATAATGTGATTCAACTATGCTGTATTTGCAGAGCCTAGTAATAATAAAAACTGCCTCTGGCAATTCAGTTTGCATAATAGATCACAGCCAACATTTTTAAGGTTATACTTTTGACAGAAGAGACTACAGAATGATCAGAAAGTAAGTTCTGGTTCCTCAACAAACACACAAACAAAAGCTGACATTTTCCTTAAGAAAAAGAATAATCATTAACCAATTTATGAAAGAAAGGAAACAGAACACACTGCAGGTGATGAGATAATAATGCCAGCCTAAGTTCATTATGCAAATCATTCAAATATAGACATAAAGAGTAACTGTACCATAACTGAACATCAGGTGGTTCAAAGATAAAAAAACTCCCATGGTTTCTTTTCAGCAGAAAAAGTTAGAAGAACTGTAGGAGTTCGGTTTTTTTCACGAGTTTCTAGATTTAAGAGTGTAATTCTTTGGTACTAGTAAATGTCTTTATGAAGAGAAAAAAGGAATTTCCTTCCTCTACACAACTTTTAAGGAAATGTTTTGGTTGTCAAGCCTGGCACACCATGTAGTTTCAAAATTTTCCATTGCTACTACTCTGAAAAGAAAAATGTTTAAAAAATAATTCTGCTTGCTTCTGCAGGTGGGATTCTCTGCAGCTGCTTTGAATCAGGGTGTCAAAACAGCAAGGAAAAAAGTCCAAACATTCAGAACCTGTAGTCTTTTTCTTCAGAAAAAAAATCTTCCTGAATTTTTCAAATTCAGAACCTTTGAAAGAGGCCAGAGGATGCAACTCTGATGCAGAGGATGTAGAAATGAAAAATTACAAATAACAAATATTTAATTCCATTTGTATTTAGCAGAGACTTGGCTCCCAGTGGAACTTAAGGACATACTTAAAAAAGTTGAGATTGCTTTGTGAAGACCAAGGTAAAGCCTGTACCTTAATGCTGCCTCTCCAGTGGTACAACTCAGGCCTCCTATTTTTCATCTGATTTTTCAAGTACCAAAAGCCCTGTATGAAAGTGCTGAAAACAGTGAAATATCTGACTCAACACTAAACAAAAAGCAGCAGGAAAATTTCAAGTATTTGACTGAAGTGGATGGATTAGACTCGCCAAACCCAAACATTTCATGCAGCTAGAGGAAAGAACCTGAGTCATCAGCTACATCAAAGTCAAGGTCCAGTGAGTGGAATTAGTGAGCGCTGTGTGAACAGGAACGATACCTGCATTCATCTGCCCACTGCAGAACTTCTAATTACACCCAAACAGCCAGTAGCATCAGTGACTAAAATCCCCAGATTACCTTGATTGCTCTGTCATTATCTGTAATCAGCTGCTGCTTCATATCTTCAAACTTCTGTAGAACTTCCTGGAGGCGCTGCTCTGCAGCGAGCTGCTGCCGGCTGCTCTCCTCCGTCAGAGAGGAAATGGTTGTCTCAAGTTCAGCTATGATCTAAACAGAAAACAGCATGCTAAATCTCTCTTCAGTAAAAAGCATGTATTTTGCATGTTTTTATGCTCGGTACAAGCATGGCATTGGCAAACTCTGCTGTGCAAGCTAACTATTTCAAATTAACATATTACACCCTAGCAAGCGTGAAACTCCACGCAGAGAAAAAGGAATCTAGTAAGGCTGTGAATGACAAAAACTGCTGAACACAAAATATTTGGAAGGGTTTTCCACTATGACATTCCAAAATATTTACTCATGAGAACAAAGCACATCTGTGATCTCCAAAATTGAGCACGTTTCCAGCCTTCCACTGCACTGAAACCAGTGCTGCAAATTTACATAGTGATGGTTAGGTTCATTTTCTAGAGCGCTTTATAGCTTGATACTGCAGAGAAGAAAAACACCCAAATTTACATACTGAACTGAAATTTAATCTTGATAGCAAAATTTCTGAGGTGCTGAAAGAATCATGTTCTGCTGAGCAATACACTGGGGACCTGATTCAGCATCCAGGACCCTTAAACTAGACCTTATGCATGATGCAGTCACAATTTGTTGAAATGTACTTGTTTCACCTTTTTTATCCCTGTGGAAAGTCATAACTAACCATGATCCGTCCAGCAGATTTACAGAACTTTATGCTGACATACAAGTCATCACCCAGCAAAGCACTTAAACATATGGGGGAGTCACTGACTTTAATGTATATATTCAAGTTGAAGGTTAAGCTGCTGTAGCAGTGTAATATAGTCCAGTTCTAAAAGCACTTCAGGACACAGGCAGTTCAGGGAGGGGCTACCTGAGTGCTCAGACATGGGTGTTTGCAAGGCCTCCTCATTGGTAGAGGAACATTTAATGACACTAAAGCCACATTTTTTTAGGAAAAAAATTTTCTTTGAAACTACTCCTAGGACAGGACCAGAATAATAAGATGTGCTCTAAATTAAAGCACTAGAATTACTGGGGAAGGGGAAAAGAACTGATTAAAACTCTACTGTGAAATTTTTTTCTGTTTTACTACCTGAAAACCCTGAAGGGTAACACAGAGTATGAGTAAATCCTACATAGATATTTCTGCATTTCTTTTCTAAAACCAAATACATATTAAAAAAGACTATGTATCTATCAAAAGAAAGGTTCTCCACTCTCAATGAGATCCATGGGCCAAGGTTTAGAGATCATCTGGCTAGGTGTAACTGTTTAGGAAGAATTCAGCAGTATCACTGGTTTTGCAACTTAGGTCATCATTTACATGACACAAATTGCACAAATTTGGCTTTGCTAGGTGTGTGACATGCAGTAAGAAAGCAGGAGAAAATGATGGATCATATAAATTATTAAAATAACTTTGCCATGCAAACCTAAAGCACTTTGTGTATGTTCCATTTTGTCACTTTCAAAAAAGAAAACAAAATAACAAGCCCTTTCACAAAAGTGAAATTTAAAGCTTTTACTGGGTTAAGATCCTGGAGTTCTGAAGTGCAGAGTTCTGAAATGCACACAAGGAAGTTTCAGCATGAACTGATGGAGTGAGATCTGCTTTGTGCAGTTCTTTTCAGAGAAAAAAAAAAAAATCTGTTTACTTTGTATAAACTTCAGAGCAAATTTCTTGAAATATCTTCTCTGTGTGGGTGTTAAAAGTGAATGTTCCAAGAGGCCACAGAGAGTAAGATTAGACAGATGTTGTCAGCAACGTGACCACAAGAAAAGTTGCAACTGACCTACCATTAATACTGAGCTACAAAAAAAACCCCAAACCTATGTTCAAGTAACTTCAGGGATTTGATTCAAACCCACAAAAGTAAAGAAATTCAGACATCAGGCTGAAACTCCTTTATTGTGCCAAACAGCCCTGCCATATGGTGTAGGGGTTGTGTCTGCAGGGGAATGCCAGCGCTTGTTCCTGGGTCCATCTCTCCCCAGTAGGGAGAACAGTGTAGGAGCTACAGCAATGCTTTGCTGAACACTAAAAGAAATCTCAAATTGGAAACGTTTCTACAGGCCAATATGTTTCAGTCTGACAGAATTTCTTATGGGATTTAGGTTAAACAGTTATTACCTTGCACTACGCTATGGAGGTGCTCCCACCGTAACAACTACAGCAATTCCCCTCACCCCTTCTTCAAAAATTCACAAATGCTTAAATTAGTCCATCAGGTTTTAACGAAAGGACCAAGATCCATTTTTGTTCTGACACTAAACTGTCTGGCACAGGGAGGCTGACTTTTGATTACACTCTCCAGGTATGACAATAGCATAAAAATGACAATGACAAAAGGTAAAACAGAGGCAGCAATGAAAGGGAGATCTTCCTTCAGGCTGCCACACATCAGATGTTATTTTTTTGAGGTTTAGCAATTTTCTGCTATTCAGGTTCAGACAGCAAGATAAAAATAATAGTTTGTTTTTTTTTTTTTGTTGCTGCTTCTTTCTTTCTTTAATAGATAAGGCTCTCAACAAATTACTCTAAAAGGCATTTAGGAAAGCATTCTCTCTGATTTATCATAGAATTGTGGAATTGGTGAGGGTGAGAGGGACCTGCTCAAAGCAGAGTCACCCAGAGCTGGTGGCTCAGGAGTCATGTCCAGTTGGGTTTTGAGTATCTCCAAGGATGGAGACCCCACAACCTCTCTGTGTGCAAATAAACGTGCAGAAAATACACAGTAGGTTTTAAAAATACAGTATAAAAATATATTTAACAATGATTCTGGAAAAAATTTTAAAAATGTGCTGTGAAAAATGTGGTAGTCCAATGAAATTTCACTGAAATAAGTAAGGCCAAAGTTTTGGACAATTTTTTCAATGATACTCAAAGGCAGCTGAAAAGCTGAAATCAGGAGCTTTAAATATTTTAAAGTGCTTGTAATAAAGTTTGCAATTTCTTGTCATTGTCTCGCTGATCATCTCTGCCTAGTTTGGAGGCTTCTAAATCATTCTTTGCAGCGTTTTGATTGATCTTAAAATAATATTAGACTTTCATTGCTATTGGTGAAAACATTTTGCAAGTAAAAGGCTGTCATTCTGCTCTGGTTGGGAGGAATGAGAAGAATGACACCTCCACATAAATCCTCGTGGCAATTTTCTTATTATTAAAAGCTTAACTTCTGGTTGCATCTCCATCATTTTTCACACTTCAGTACTACCTGTCAATCAAACTGAAAGCTGAAATATTAAAAAACCCATCCTGTCTTATCATTTTAAAGTATATATGTAAATTCAACACATTTTCATCTGCCGACTACTCTGAAGAACAATAACTCAAGTCAAAACCACTTTGCTTTTAGGACATTGGCATTCCTTCAAGTGTTATTTTGGACAGAAAGGCTGGACTGGCTGGGAGCAACAATAAACACCATGATGGCCCAGTTGGGCCTGTGGCCTGCCATGAGCTGTGTGGGCAACCACCACCTCAACACACAAAATGCAAGCTCTGGCTGTTGAAAAGTAAAATCACTGAACAGAATTAGTCCCGTTCTACCCCAAACCAGGACAACGAGATGTGCTGGTTGATGGGACACCTCATGGTGACTGAGGGCTCAGTCTTCCCGGGTCCTCAGGAGGTGGAAAAAGTAGATGAAAAGGGTGAAGTTTAGAATTTAAAAAAAACCACTCATTTTTTCAAGTCAGCTTAACGCTCGGTGTTTTTTGAAAGGTTAAAATCTGCAAGAAAGACACAGGATGTTTGATTTGGAAAACTGTTACGGCTTCTCTTGATCCTCAAGACCTGCACTTCAGAGGAGAAGTAATTACACCTTTCATCAAATTCCCAAACGAAACGGATTCACGTGAGGTTCCTCCTCGCCACCTACCTGCGAGGATTTCGCCAGCTTCTGGCCGTACTCCTTCTCAGTCTGCTTCAGCCGGCTGCTTGCCTGAGACACACACAAAGGGCAGCCCGATTAGCTGGGATGAAGGACGTGTACAGACACTTTGCCACCGACCCCTCCGCTTGGCACCTCGTCCACATGCCTATCGCCGAGCGGCCGGGCCCCGCGCCAGCTCCAACGCCCTTTTGTGGCAGCCAAAAAACCGCCAGGCCTCGCCTTTGATCTCGGGCCAACGATTCATCGCTCGAAAGAAGGGAGAAATTGTACCTCTGCTGCCAATTATTAGGAAAACATAAAGACTTCTGCTGATTAAAAAAAAATAAAAAAAAAGAAAAGAGAGTGTGAGTGTGGAAGGAGGCAACGCACACACAAGTTTATCAGGGTGACTTTGTTTCTAAACAGAGGGAAAAGGGCCAGGAGAAAGTCCCAGGCAGGGGCTGCCGGGGTACAACATGACATGGAGACCACGACTTCGTGTCTCAGCTTGGTGTCTGCAACTGCCTTTTGTCCCATTGAACGTCCCTTCCTATTCAGAGGTGGTGATTACATTGAAAATCGACCCAACACGCAGCTGAACTAAGCAGGAGCTCTGGGGCATGCAGCTCTTTCCTTCTCTGAGCTTTTTTTTTTTTTCTTTTTTTTAAACTCAAAGATAAACAATAAACCAAACTGAAAAGGCTGCTTTGTCATATTGAAATCCATAAGCAAATATTTCCAAAATTCATGGGGAAAATAGCTCTTAAGGTTTTTTTCTTAAAATAACTTGATTTCAGAAATAATTTGATAATAATTAATAAATTCCATTTAATTTCAGGACTCAATTCTGGTTAATATTTTTCTTGCAAAGTGCCACAGAATTATATTGATAGACCAGCCCCAAAACACTGTCCTCAGATGAACTGCTAAATATTTCTACAATTCTCGGGAAAAATAGCTCTTAAGGTTTTTTTTCTTAAAATAATTTGATTTCAGAAATAATTCAATAATAATTAATAAATTCAATTTAATTTCAGGACTCAATTCTGGTTAATATTTTTCTTGCAAAGTGCCACAGAATTATATTGATAGACCAGCCCCAAAACACTGTCCTCAGATGAACTGCTAAGCGCTCTCATGTTCTTGGCTCTAAAATCGGAGGACAGGTGTCTAAGAAAAATATTTTCTTAGGGGGACAGAATATCACAAAGCTGAGTTCTGAAGCAAATTTAAGCTGATTAAGTTTTCAAAATCAATCTGACCTCGTGTTCAAATCTTTGATCTGTCGTCCCTAGTTTTACGGCACAGCATCCAGCCCCAGACACATGCTCCTTCAGCTGCCCGTGGGCCAGCGCCTGTTTTGGGGGACCACAGAAGCCACAGGGCCCCCCCAGTGCCTCTGAACCCTGCTTGGATCCAGCTGCAGGACTGACACTCCATTTCTGCAAACACCAGGGATTTCAGTTGAGCAAATAAGTTTTATTGATTTTACTGGACTATAAATTCAGGAGCTTAAAGCTGCAGAGAGTGTTTGCAAATCACCACCCAGGATAGGGCTTGAATCATCCTCCACAATCCAGGCAGTTATGCATGGGGCAGCTTAATGGAAGTATATCCCAGCCAGCTAAAAATAATCTTAATGTTTACATGATACTGCTATTTAAGATCTTGAATCCCTTCAAATTCCAAGATTATGAAACACATGGAGGTCTATATTTCATATGTTTGTTGGTATGGAGAAATCTACCAAAAAAAAAAAAGTTAATCAAAACCAATTATCAAATTTGCACTTCATTTCTGAGGACACATTTTAGCTGTTTTGTGTTATAAATAATGGCACTACATATTGGTTTAAAACAGTATATACAAGAACTCTGGAGCATCAGACAATTTAAATTCCACTTCTTCTATGTTTACCATTTAAGTGTGCCACAAACTCTAAGGGCATATTGTGGGGCTGCATAAATAAAAAGAGCAGGGAGACAGAAGCAGTGAGACCAGACAGCTCTGTGTGTGCCACATTCCTCTTTGTAGTCAGGCTGACCCATGTTAACACCCTTTCCACAGTACAGTCATCTAGCTTCAGATTACATTTTACCACTACAGCATATCCTAGTGACTGAAACTGGCAGTTTAGGGAGAAAAAAGAGTAAAAAGTAAATTACAGTACTAGTATAAATTGCTGTTACTCAGAAAGGGAGAGATACCAGTCAGCAAGGCACTGCAAAGAAGATCACATTACAGCTGCTCTCACTCAACTTGCCTGGGGTAAAAGTCTTCATCTTTCACAGAAGCAGCTTTATAACCTCCTGAACCCATAGAAGAAATCCCAATAAATAATAAAAAACCACTCATAACTTCCATAAACAAATTAAAACTTGTTTGTTCACACTGAGTAGAATCAGGATGACCCCTGATAGACATGACAGAGGTGATCCAAAAGAAAGATATGCTTAATTTTAGTGGTTTATTCCCAACTGAAGGCAAAGAAAGTATATAATATCAGTTTATTTAAAGGCAATTACAACATTGTATAATGGCTTAAACAAATTCCAATTAGCAAAAATTGGTAAGCTGTCTCCCAGTCATCAACAAACCACAACTTCTCGCATTTACTTGCTGTCCCAACCGTCCTGATTTTTTTCAGGAGTCCTGAGTTACCAAATGTTCCACTAGAGATGGCAAAAATACATTTAGACTGGCTCTACCTGTCCAAAACTGTCTATTTGGACCCTGTGGCACTAAGAACTATGGACACCTGCTGACTTCAGCTTTTCCCTCTAGACCTGTAACATCATGCTGGTCTTGCATCATCACAAACTGCACAGGTACCACCAGCAGAGCTCTGCAGAAGGCAGTTTCTGTAGGTTAGTGGAAAGATCTAATTCATGGTGATGCACAGGAACACTCTTTTCCACTGTTGTTGTTTGCTGCAGAAATACAAAAGTTTTCCCATTTTAAAACCTGTGACTAGGCTCATTTAATGATATCTCTTGACTCCAGGCTGTTGATCTGCAGTCCAGGGAAGCACAAACCTGCTCCCTGGGGCACACACACAGCATGCCACACACCAAAAAGCACCTTCTTCCTTGGGTTTGTTTTTAAGCAGTGGCTTACAGCAAAGTAAATACACATAGCTGTGTACAGTGAACATCACAGAGGATTTATATTCCATCTGTCTTGACAAAGGAGGGGGTTAGAAATGGCATGGTGCACACCAGCAGCACTCTCCTGGGCTCCTTTTGTAACACGCTGCTCAGCTCATGCCTTGCATGAAGCTTAAGCTGCTTCTGTATTATTTTAAGGGCATTCCCTCACTTGCACGTTACGTGTTATTTCAGAAACATAATGAATAAGAATCCAACTGGCAGGTGAACATTTGGAGGGTCAGCCAGTATTCATTAAAGTCTAACTCTTTTTATAGCAATGGGCAGCACTGCAAATACAGTTAATGGTCTTCAACTCGTTTTCCGTGTGAGAGAGGTAGCTGTTGAAACTCACTCTTGGCAAAAACTTGTCAGAAATATCAATTGTAATCTCCATTTTTACAATAAAAAGGTTTAAATTGGATAAGCCATAGAAGAATTCCACCGATTCAAAAATTAACTACTGTTTAGTTTCGCACAGTTAATACATATTTTAGCTAAAATTATCTGATTATGACAATTTTACATGCAGTTATTTTATATTACAGAGTGAGGACTTTTGCATTAAAAAGATTATGTCCTTGTTACAGTTAATTGGTTTTAAAAGCCAACTATAATTCTGTAACAAGCCTTAAAGCATCATATTGTGGTTGCTGAGCAAAACTGCACCGACTTGAACAAAACACTGCCTGTAAAAATTAAACCTGGTATTAGCACTGCAGATGCAGTATCTCAATTAATAGGTGCTGTTCCAACACATCCATTTTTTACCTTCCCTGAAACAGAACAGAATAAAAGAACAGATGATCCACAGTGAGACCACACTGCAAAAGCACACCATGTCCTACCCTAAGTACCAAGTTTTCAGATGTTATTTTTACAGTATAAGATGTATTAGAGGGGACTTTTAGTTCTACTCAATAGTACACATGCCCTAAGCAGCCCCAGGGCTGCCCACCAGTATGACCATCTCCAATGTGGACAGTAGCTCCAGCTGCACCATGGGGTTGGCAGGCACATGGACAACTTCACCCTCCATCAACGTCCATGAAAGCGCTCAGGACATCTTGAATGTTCATGGAAAATGCAGCTGTTGGAAATTTTTTGGAACGGGGTGAACCCGTGCATATCTTCCAGCTTTGGAATGGGGGTTGTTGGATGGAAAGTTTCAGTTTGGATGGAAAGTTTAAATTATTTCAATTATGCTGTAAAATTCATAGGAAAACTGACTCTTGCAACCCAAATGTAGATAGATCTCTAAGACCTAGAGGTGCAGAGTGAAATCCTGTTCTATTTTTACAGTTTTGTGACTTACTCAGTAGTGTTTCAATTTTATTTCAGTCTCCCCAACACAGGAACATATAACAAAACCCCCACCAAACACACTTTTCAGAAACCAGAGGGTTATCCATACACACCCATATTCATTAAAAGGAAAGTAGACTTAAGAAATCTGGTTAGTTTGCTAGTTAGGAAGTAACAATTTTTCAAAATACCTGCACCTAACTAAATGATGACCAGACATAAGCTGATCCTCCATAATTACTTAGACAAAAGTGTAAGCAAAGTCAAGAAAAAAAAAAAAAAGAGGGGGGAAAAAAAATAAAAGAAAAAAAATATCGAAGGGTGGGGGAAGGAGAAGAAAGAAAACTTGCTCCAGGGAAGAAGCAACTGTTCTCTGATGTGCAGCAAAGAATTTAACATCAAAGTACTAATGTAAATGGGGCCCATTTACCTTAAAAAACAACACACCACTCGCATTCTGGAATATTTCTGTTTAAGTTTGACAGCATTATGCTTTGTACCAAAATTCAAGATTGTGTAATTTGACAGATGTCAAAAGAAAATGACCTTCAGGATAGCTAACTGTAGCAATTTTTGTTATTAAGTATGTTAAAACACTCTGTACAGTATCTGTTCAAA